ACATTTTGGACATAAAGCTTTTTTAAATAGCAGCTTACTGTAGCATTTGAAACTCCCATTTTGGACGATAATATTAGAGTGGTTACAAAAAAACCTAGCTGAAAGACCCAAGTAATTCAGCATCATTTAAATCTGAAGAGCTACTTGATCTAGGCCTATCTTAAAGGGTGTTCTACACAGATTTGAACTGCCTGTACCAAACACTATGATGGACCACATATTCACTTTCCACAGCAGAAAATTACCTAGGCTACTGCCTAAACACTTAGTCCTATTTTCTAATAGAGCCTAGACCAGGGGTTCCCAACCTTCTGTCAGAAGCAGACATATTTATAGGTTGTCTTGAGTGGTGGGCATCGTGGTTTGGTTCATTATAAATTACAGGAAAGAAAATGTAAATGGTATCGATAAAACAAAATATATGTACATATATATACACATATTTATAGTAGCAGAAATCATTTTTATTTCTAAAACTAATGAAATCTATTTCGACAGGAAAGGCGAAAACAACAAATGCAATGATTGTAATTAATTATATACAGTTTTCTTATAATAAATTAACAAATTTTGAAATTAAAATTAAAAATTAATTAAAAGCGGCATGAGTTATAACTAGTTATAAAATAAGTTAAATGCAGTGTTACTAACAGTTTTTATTAATTTTTTTTACTATCAAAGAAAGAGATTAATCAAAACAACAGTAATGATATTATATCAATAAATAAATTATTATTTTTAAATAGTAATTATTATTAGAAATATAATAATAATTATTATTGAATTTTATATCTATAAACTCTTGTTAGATTTTTAAATATTCATATATTTAAGAAAGGAACAGTAAAACATTTGAATTGAAAACTTGTCTATCTGCAGCACACCACATAAAACAATTATGATGATTTAAAAAAACACAAAATAAGTAAATTACAACTTTCAAAGTGATCATTCATGCTTACAATTAATTGTTAGATATTTATTAAAATAATTATTCAACATTTAATAGAAAACTTTTCGATCTGCACTAGGCAATAGTAAAACTGAAGCCAAGGGGATGGCCGCTAAAAGTTATGTTAGACGAAGGCAGGCACATCCACAGGCACAGTTGTGCTCGTGAGCACTGAGTAGGGAACCTCTGGCCTAGACGAATAAGAATGAAAATCTGTTGCTGAGATATTCAGAGAAATTTATAAATGAAAGGGAGTGAGGTTGGTATGCATAATCAAATTAAGAATCAGTTAAAGTAAACAATGATAAATACATTATTTACATCAAAGTCAAATAAGGAATAAAATGGAAACCCTAATGTCAGTAATGAATTGATGCACAACAACTTTTGTAATGACCTAGTAAAAGTAATATTGTTTTGTATAAAATAATTCCATGTCAATGTTTTATTGACTAGATTTATAACTTATTTACTCATTTAACTTACGCCAACTATTCTAATCACTACCATTCATCCCACAAATTGTAAAAGAGTAGGAGCAAAATCTATTGAATGTAATGTGGATTCACAATTAATTTTAAGAAAAGAAAAAAGCTTTATAATGGTGTAGCTTTTAATCTATTAATTTTAAATCAAAACTACATGACATAAATTTATTTTCAAAACATCAATGAGAAGCACTAAAAATAATACTTACACCTACATAATTCAAAAATAAAAATTCAATAAACCAAATGGAATTTTTCTACTTTTTAAATTCTCATTTAGTAGACATACAGTGAGGAAAAAAATATTTCAACTAATCATTTTTTAAAAACAATTTTATTTCTAAAAGTCATTACAATTTTTTTCAAGATGTTTTAAAAATAATATAAACAATCGTTTTTAGATTACATAAATTACTGAAAAGCAATTTTCTATAGGGGAAAAAAGTATTTGAACTATTTTAATGGGTGACAGATAGTTAGGACACAGGCAGTTTTAAAGATTTTTATAGCCAACGTATGAACCCAAGATTGTGGGTAACCATCGGGGCATGTTACCGGCTAGCACTGAAGATTTCAAGTACTGGTCAGTACACAAGTACATCCATGGATCGACCTTGGGATCAGGAGACCCTTCTAAGGCATAACCAGCCTCTATAAAGTGAGTACTCATAATTAAATAACTGATTAAGGGGGAAAACCTAGCGGTTGAAAGTGATTTCAGCTAAATCATCTCCCTGCACAACTGTTGGTCCCATAACAGTACTTCCTTACAAAGTAATAAACCCAAGACTCTCCATGTATTGTAGTGGAACAGGCTATTTTTCTTTACTCATTAATTTGTCTTCAGTTTATACTATCATTTAATAGTTATTCATGCAGCCAAATGCAGTATTAAAGTAAGATTTTGTTGTTCTCTGAGGACTATATGTTCTAGGTTTTTCTTTTTTCTTTTTTGACAAATTCCATATATATATATATATATATATATATATATATATATATATATATATATATATATATAATATTTATTAACAATCATATCACCAATTATCCAAGAATAATACTAAAACACATCGAAATAAATAAAACATATCAAGAGCATTTAAAGGAGGAGAGGCGCTGCATTTTTGTTAGCTTCAAATTGTTTTATGGCCTTCAAATTCAAATAAACGAAACTTTAAAGAACATATTTAATAATTCCAATAACTTACTAATTTCAAAGGTAAAGTATTTTCAGTATTTACCTTTAAACGATAAGTATTTTGTTTTGTTTTATCTAGAGTTTCTACATTTCAATCCAATATTTCTTAATTAATTTTCTAGCGCTCTAGAGAAACGACTTAACATATACCAAGTTTATTTCAAAGCTGTTGACTAATAATAGAAGGATTTTTTAAACCGACTTGGTAAATGGAAGTTAAAGCTCTACCTCTAATCACTTTTAGAAGTCCTTTTCTCTTCTTTTTAATGTTACTGATTCTCTACTCTATCTCTTATATTGCTGATATCTTTACTATTATATTGTTCATAATTTATAGTAGTTCCCGCACAGCTATCGAAAATTTTACTTTACTCAAGGTTATCATTCTTACACCAATAGTAAAAATTTAAGTCACATTTTTTCACATAATTGTCATAAATGATTATTTTAAAATAATACAAAGAACGAGACTTGTTTTACTAAAAAATAATTAAAATCAATATTTAAATATTTTTCCCCGGAAAAATGCTTATTTCTTAATTTCATTTACTTTGAATTAAGCCAATTTAAAATTTCACATTTTATTATTCATTATCCAACATCAACCCATGATGTTTGACATTAGATCATATGCTAACCAATATAAACAAAAGTATATTCTTCACATAATATTAAATAACTGAATAAAACTTTAGATAGATTAAATGAAAGTTCAAGAGACTAGAAAAAAATAAAATTGTAGATAAACAATGATGCGTTCAAATACTTTTTTCCTTAACGTAATTCCATGGCCATACCAAAGGTAAAAACGAACACTAAAATACAGAATTTACTTAGACATTACATAGACTATTTCTGGTATATAATTAAAAAATATATGATGTACCGATTTTTTTACCTTGTTTTAAATATAATATTTTCATTATTTTTCATTTCATCATTACACTTTCATTATTTTTTACTGTAATAACAATTAGAGACTTATTTTCAAAATAATCATGAAAACTAAATGATAAAAGAGTATAAATAAAGATTTTAAAATATCTGACAAAATTTATGTGTACAACGAAATTTATGTGTACAACAAAATTAAGTAAAAATTGCAATTATTAAGGAATTACTAGCTTAATTTAAGAATAGGAGAAAAAACATTCTATAAAAAGAAATTATAAATTAAATATGGAACATGCACAACTTGATGTAACATGGAACAATGTTTTTAGCAACATCAGCAGGTGGAATCGTAAACATAAGCTTGTAACCCTTAAAATTTACAGCTCATTTTACAAGCATTAATGACAGTATTTAACACACAAGATGAACTTAATTGGTATAGTTAAATTTTTACCAAATAATTTCACGAAAATAAAATATAGTAACATTTAATGACACTACCAGAAATTGGGGAGCCATTATACAGAATTAAAGTGACAGAATACAATAAATACACACAGATGGACAATTGAAATTTGAAAAAATAAATATAAAATCAACAATAATATCAAACAAAAAACTATACAGAAAATAATAAATAATTTCTATCAATAACATTACAAAAAAAGTGGAATGACAATTAAATAATTTCAAAAAAAAAAGAAAGTAACAGCAAAAAGGGATTGCTAGGAATATATGGCAACCTTATAAACATAGTAAACATTAATTTCATTTTTTAACCAGAGAAAGGAGAAAAACCTCATTTACAGGTATAGAATAAGAAATGTAAAAGCCGGTATTACACTGAATTAAAATATATGCCAAAACAAAAGATAAAGATTTTATCAAATTCGATAATTTAGGCACAAGGTCATTAACCCAAGGATAGTGACCTATCCCATGTTCATCAAATGAAAAATCAGTACTATTCATACATACCAAAGAAGTGCCTAGTCACAAAAATAGCACCCCTTTCACAATGCAATATCCTTTAGTAACAACAAACAACACATGCGATGATTTCATAAGCTTTACAATGACTATAAACATTATTATTGGAAATATATTGATAACAACTTCAATTATAATGTAAAAATTTAACCAAAATAGGGTTTGACAATTAAAAAGAGAGATCAAATCCTGCGGCTGCTCGATAGTGAGAAGTGAGTGACAGAAAAGTAGGAGAATAACAAGAAAAACAGCTAACTTAAAACAAACATAATTATAGAAACTGAATACTTATCAATAATAGAAAACTCATGATTGATAAAAGATTCTTAGACAAAATTAAACACTTATCATAAGAAGGAGGGCAAGCGTAGCTTAATAACAACACCAATGAAACTAGTTAATTTAAAGGGCACACAAATTATAAAAAAATCAAATAAAATAAAACATTTTATTATTTGACATTCAGAAAAAATACCTGCTCCAATAACTCCGGCATTTCTGACTGTGGTCTTTCAATTAATGTATTGCACAGAATTTTTCCCATTCCATCTCTTGCAGCAAAAAAAACTATTTGTTTCACAAATGCTGGATTAACTGGATGTATTGCCATAATTTTATCCGATATCATGGTTATAGCATTGAATAATGAACGTGTTTCGCACTACACTTTAAAATAAAGAACAGCTGAAATGAGACAGCAGACTTATGGGTAATCTTGCAACAACTAAGGCTAAAATAAAATGCCAGTCATACTGCTTAAGATTAATAACAAAGAATAACTAGCCTCACGATGACGAATATAATTTAATTAATCAACATGGAATAAAGTGAAGTACTTGAGACATTAATGTTACATGTTAATTTAGTTATACAACAGGTAAATCAATAATTATTAACTACGTCAAAGTAAAATTATTGACTAAAATGTCATGGAGATAGGATACCTTATTCGAAACTAGGAGAAATTCAATTAAAGGAATATAATAGTTAAAAGCTAACCCAGGAGGCGTGGCCAAGATAAACAACCACTTCCATAAAAACTTCAAAATAAAGTAAACACAATAAACATGATCTGAGAATAATATAAAATCCGAAATAAATATTAAATCATAACAAATCATAAATTAAATCAAGTTTTTTTTATTACTATTTTATCTGGGAGCAACATTTTTAGTTTTTATCTCATAAAATTCTTTATATATTTTTAAAGAAATTCTTATTTTCGTGATTTCTTGAAACCTCCGAAAGAAAATAATCAAGGCCTTTCCTCCTATCTGAAGCAACCGAACATGAAGCATTCCTAGATTTTTTTTAAGGTTTAGTAAACCTATGATAAATACTATCAAGAATACATTACAAATAAAATTACTCTAGTTCCACCTCTATTTATCTCTTATCTTTCTGCTGTCACTGCACTATATCAATACTAAGTCCTTTATATAGTTTTTTGAAGAAAGGAATTGCATGGAACTGGACTTTTGCATGTGGTGAGGAGTTCAATAGAATAAAAACAGTGTTTTAAGAAAATTGTTCACTACTTCATTATGATCCTTCGATTCCTATTAGACTTGCTGTGGATGGTTCATATTCTGGTCTGGGAGTAGTGAATTTTCAACGATCTGTTGGGGTGGACAAGCAATTTACTTTTGCGAGTAGATCCCTTTCCACAGCAGAATTAAGCTTATCCTCCTTAATCAAATAATTAATTAAGGGGAAAAACTGGCAGTTGAGCTTGATCTCGGTCAAATCACCTCCTTCACAACGTTGACCAAGAAACAGTGCTTTCCCTAAAAAGTACTGAACCCCAGACCCTTTATGGGTTGTAGTAGTACATTTTCTTTATAATAATCCTTTATTAGCAATATTTAGACCCAAATAAGGAATACCAATGTGTGCAGTAAACATATTGCAAATATGGGCATAGATAAAGGCAAACTATACTTACAAGATTGAGTGAGTAAAATCCCAGAGAAATGTTGCCGATTGGTTGCCCCTGTACCTGATTGTCCAAGTGGATCTTCAGAAGCTGATTTGTGCTTTAATAATATGTTTGGTAGTGGAGGTAGGTAGGTTGGTGAAATGTTGGAGAAATAGAAATTATCACTGTTGAATGAGGGTGATAAGAAAGCCTGGTAAGAGGAGGGTGAGCTGTTGCTAGTGGTAGAAAATATAAAGTAGGAATTTAATTCATCAGATTAAACCGGGTAGATGATTTAGAATCAGGAGCAGAAGAGAGGGTTTCGTGAAAGAAGTTTGATTTCGCTTTCCTTATCGTTTTTTGTGTCAAATTACGGAGTACCCTATAGGCTTGATAGTCATCTGCTAGTCGAGTTCGCCTGAAGCGTCTACGGGCTGCCTCACGTCTCTTTTGCATGTATCGAATTTCTTGACACATCCAAGGTTAGATGATGATGAAGATAATGAGCAGGTTGGCGGCGAAAGGTTGAGGTTTTGATAGAAGCATGTATATCAAGAATATGGATAAGAATAGAAGTGAGGATGTCTACCATATGATCAATAGAGGTGCAGGAATAGAAATCGTCCCAGTTTGGGGTTTCAAGGTTTTAGGAAGAAACGTGGGAGTTTGGATATTTTACGATAATTAGATAAGATAATGAGAAGAAAGGAAAGTAAAGGGTAATTGAGAACAGGACAAGAGTTTCTGTTCTGACTCGATGATATGCAGGTCCAACCAGGTGTCAGACCAACAGGTATGGTGTGTAGGAGCGAAAGGAACAATAAAAAGGCTGATGGAGAAGAAGAGGTTTTCCAAGTAGCTTTTGTTGTTGGATTCAGTGAGGAGGTTGGTATTAAGATCTCCGGCAATTATAATGTTATTATAGAAAGCAACATAATTGTACAAGGTTGATTCGAAGGATGGTTCAAAAGGAGTCAAAGGAGGGCGGTATACGACCACATAAAGGAGAGGATATGCTTTACAAGAAACTTCAGCGAAGAGGAATTCAATGTGAGGATGATTGGAAGGAGATGAAATATCTAGGATACGGGGTTTCAGGCTATTGTGGACATAGAGACCAACACCTACGCCAGTCCGGGACACCCGGTCATGACGGATGAAGGTATAATCACGTAAGGAAACGGAGGAGGAGGGGATAATGTGGCTTAAGTCATGTTTCAGAAACTGCAATAATGTGGTATAAATGACGGGTAAAATATTGGAGAAATTCGTCATAGTGAGTAGAAAGAGATTGTGAATTAACATGACAAGTAACATAACGGAAAGGAAAAGAATACATATAACATGATGGATGACGGTGTAAGTTAGAGAAAACTGTGAAAATAAATTTGGAAAGAAGTAAATAACGACTGTAAAAGAAGAGAAAAAAAAAAAGAGTTAGGTTCAAAAATATGAGGGAGAAGAAAACAAAATTACATTGGTTAAAATAGAGAAATAATAATAACAATAATAATAGATGAGCAACCCAGAACGGTGCTCTATTATAAAATATATGATAATTGGGAGTTTACGGATACTATCTGTAGGTTGACGTAAATCAGAAGGTCAGCAGAAAACCTCTAGATAATTTGGTTGGTCGATGTATATCACTGGATGGCCATCTCCTTTTCTGCAGCGCAATCTACGCGCCGAAAACCATACATATTTTAGCTTGCCGACCGCTCTCTTCTGACGTGCGAGCCAATACAGTCGTCTATTAGTATGAGTCATTTCTTCACCCAGATATATTTGGTGGGAATCGTTTTCCTGCCAGCCAATGTCTCGAGTTAAAAAGTCCCTTTTCATTTTTCTTCTTTGTACCAGCTCGTATCGTACTGCCTGACTCAAGAAGCGAGCTATAACGGGTGGCGGTCTAGGAGCGTCTTTTTAAGGTCTACGGCGCTCCACAAAATCGATGTCCCCGATGCTGATCTTAACCCCAAGACCGGCCTCCACACTGGCAACCAGGGCCGAAGGAGTCTCTCCTGCACGTACCGGGAAGCCTCGGATCTCTACTTATCTACAGATTAGGCTCTGCTCGGCTCTGTTTAACCGTACCTCGACTCTGGATTTCAGTGTTTTGATTTTCGTAGTCAATTCCTCCATATGTTTAGCTTGGCTTTTTATTTTTGAAAACCTGTTATTTACCTCGAAGCTGAGCTCATCGTATTTTTCTAACGACGACTTTAGATTTTCAATGTCTTCATTTGGGCGCAATAATCACTTGGGAGCTAAGTCGATTAACCGCTCCGAGAATATCAGCTGCTGAAGGCTCCTTGATTTCAATTCTTGGTGGACTGGCTGATTTTTCTCTGATTTGGTATGTCTTTTTGCCTTGGTCACATTTTTTACAAAGCCATACCTTTTTTGGGATTTGAATGTCTGGATCTCTTTATCAGTCAGATTGCAGCATTTACCGTGAAATATAACCTGCATTTATTGAAGCATATATTAGTTTTGTCCTCCCTAGAGATGGCACTACCACAAATAGAGCACTGAACCATTTTCGATAATATAATAATATTTACTGTTATACGACTGTTTGTCAATAGAGACGTGTTGTTGGTTCTTAATACTCAAAAGCTTAGGAGGATTAATTGCCACTCTTCAAAACACAGCTAGTGAAACAAGACCATTTTCTTCAATAATTTAATAATCCGTAAAAAAAAAAAAAAAAAATTTGAAGGACATAGATAAACTTGGTTGACCGTGAAAATAGATTTAAAAAAAATATAAAAATTAAAAAGAAATAACGGAGGAAACGAATGTTAGAGAGAAAAAACTGTAGGGACGAAGTGAACTGCTGCAGACTGAGAATAATTTATTCCTAATTATTTCTAATGCCAAACAATTGTCATTAAATTGTACATTTTAGTTATTCTAAGGAGACTTAGTCCCAGAATAAAATTTATTTTTCTTCTTCTTCTTAATATATCAATGGCTTCACAAAAATACTAAACAAATATGAAGCATGTAAATTCTACTGAATCTTCCAGAGATTATTTATGAATTGAGGTTATTGTTATTTTCTTTTTATATTTTAGCTCAAATGGGATGGAATATTATCTATTTATTTATATTTACAGCAATTAGGGCTATATTCAGCCATTTGAGACATCTTACACAATATTTGAAATTACAAAAAAAATTATATTACAAAGAATTAACAATAAATTACAGAAAATAAGAAAGGAACAAAATATTAACGCATTAAAAAACGTAAATATTAAAAAATAATATCAAATAAATTTTGGAATATAATTCGTTTTTTTCAATAAATAAAAACAATTTCTTCGCCTGCTCTTTTTCAAAACATCGGTGATATCGGTTTCCAATCTAACTTCATCTGTTTGTGCTTTATACGCATAGTACTCACTTAAGAAATTCGACACCGTCAAATGTATCTCACAAATTTTAAATGCATCAATGTGTCGGTAACCAATGGATTCATTGAAAAATATTTTTTCAAACCATTAAGGGCGGATTCTGAATCTGTGAAAATGAATGTTTGCTGGTTACTGATATTGAGTTCATGAACAAAAGTTCGATGTATGCAAACTTCTAAGCAATAGGATGGATTTTCTTGAGGAATGGAAGAGACATTTCTCTGCGCTTATTAACGAAGATCTTTCGGAAGAAATTAGAAGCAACAGTTTTATAGATTTTCCGTTACTCCAGTTAATGGAATCGTCGGATGAAGAGAAAATTTTGAATTCTCTGGCGAAACTTAAAAATAATAAGTCTCCAGGGGTTGACGAATTGTCAGCAGAACTACTTAAGTGTGAAGGAAGCACTAGCGGATCCAGCCGAGAGGCGCAGGGGGGAGGAGGAGGGAGGCACCCCCCCCCTGGAGACAAAAAAAATCCAAAAAAATAGTTATTTAAAGAAAAGAGAAATAGAAGGAAAATTCATCCTTATAGACAATGACCAAATATAATATAAAAAAATTATTATCGTAACTAGCACTAGCGAATTCTGCTAGGAGGCATGCCCTCTCTTGGATAGTGGGAAAAAATTTGGAAAAAGTGACAAAAAAACGCCTATTTAAAGAAAAGAAAAATGTATTGAAAGTTCATCCTCATACAAGAATTTCCGAATGTAATATAAAAAAAAGTATTATCGTGAGCAGCACTACCGAATTCTGGCAGGGGGCACGCCCTCTCTAGGATAGTGGAACAAATTCCAAAAAAAGTGGCAAAAAACACGTCTTTAAAGAAATGAGAAATGTAGGGAAAATTCATACTCTTACAAGAATTTCCGAATGTAATATAAAAAAAAATATTATCGTGACCAGCACTAGCGAATTCTGGCAGGGGGCACGCTCTCTCTAGGATAGTGGAACAAATTTCAAAAAAAGTGGCTAAAAACACGTCTTTAAAGAAATGAGAAATGTAGGGAAAATTCATCCTCATACACGAATTTCCTAATGTAATAATAAAAAAAAAAATTATTATCGTGACCACCCTAGTAAATTCTGCCCGGGGACGTGCATTCCCCCTTGGATGGTGGAAAAAAATATCGAAAAAAGTGAAAAAAAAACAACACCTATTTAAAGAAAAAAGTAATATAAGGAAAATTCAACCTCATACAAGAATATCCTAATAAAAAAAAATTATTATCGTGACCAGCACTAGCGAAATCTGCCAGGGGGCTCGCTCTCCCATAGATGTTGAAAAAAAATCCGATAAAACACCTATTTAAAAAAAAGAGAAATATAGGTTTCCCTATATTATAGAATTATAGGGCTTATCTCTTTATCTCTCGGCTTTCCGAGTTAAAACTACGTAAGTAATTTTCATTCATCCTCATACACGAATTTCCTAAAGAAAAAAGGATTTATTATCATGACCAGCACTAGCGAAATCTTCCAGGGGCCTCCCTTGAATCCCTTAATTGGAATCTGATTATGATCAGAATCGGAAATTACTCTGAGTTTTTTTTTCTTATAGAACTCATTTCCAACCTGCAAGACCATTTACAGTAATATTTCTCAGATTTTGACAATATCGGTAAAAATTAGTGTTCATTGGCCGTTAATCTGATATAAATCTGGATTTTTCGGCTGTAAAAAGTTTTTTCTTGGTGACCCGTGTCAGCAATTTAGTTTTTTACATTTTTTTTTTTTTTAGTTATATGATATTTACAACTGTATAAAAAAAATACATCTAGTAAATTCGCACATGGATATAATAACATGAAACACATGTTGAGAAACTACCCTTGGCCATCTTCTTTTCAGACGCCTCGGAGGGTTATCAGGAATTGAATAGGAATCAATGTTAGAAACAAGAGGGTTGGGATGGTTATGAAGTTTATTATGGAAGGACAGATATCTGGATTGGGCCAAATCTGACACATAAGGAACATTGAGGTCATTGTGGATGATTTTATTTGTAACAAAGTAAGGAGCATTGAGGATTTTACGAAGGATTTTGGATTGTAAGGATTGGATACGAGAGGAATTTGAAGGTTTGGTAGAGCCCCATAGCTCAACTCCGTAAGTCCAAATAGGCCTTATTATAGTCATGTAAATGAGTCTTTTGTAATTAATTGGAAGGTTAGAGTGTTTGTCTAGTAAGTGTTGAAGTTATCGGAAACGTCGAGCTGTTTCTTGTCGTTTCAGTCTGGTATGAGGATTCCAAGTTAGACGTTTGTCCATGGAGTCCTAGGGGGAAATATTTAAAGGAGTGATAGCAAAACTCAATAAATACAAAAAAGTTTATATAAACAATGGTTCGATTTTTAGCAGGAAAGTAGAGAATTAAAGTTTTGTGATTTTTTATGTGTCACGTTTTTTGTTGAAAAGGAAGTGATAGCTGTGATTAATGATAGCTTCATTGTAAATTAGTCAAAATTTACTCTAAATAAAAATAGAGTTTACTTTTGAGCGCCTAAATTCAGCTAATAAGTGGGGGGAAATGGGTAGTGGTGGGGGAACGGCCAGGGGTGGGGGAAGTACGTGGTACAGAGGTGCGCCTTCCCCTCAGAAAATTCCTGAATCCGCCACTGGGAGGAAGGGTATTACTGAAAATCCTTCAGAATATCATGATTCGGATCTGGACTGATGAAGTAATGCCAGAATCTTGGAATAAATCAATAATATGTCCAATCCATAAAAAGGGTAATCGGATAGTCTGCAGTAATTATACAGGCATCTCCTTACTGCAGATGTGAGTACAAAAAGTTGTCCAACATTCTCTTTCAACGACTACTCCCCTATGCAGAAAAGATCTAAGGCCTGCACCAGTTTGGTTTTCGGAAAGGATGATCTACCATTGACCAGATATTTTGCTTGTGCATCATGCTTGAAAAAGGACGTGAATATAAGATTAAAACACACCATCTTTTTGTTGATTTTAAAGAAGCGTATGGTAGTGTTCATAGGGAACAGCTTTATGAGTCAATGAGAGAGCTCGGAATCCCTGAAAAGCTTATTAGAATGGTAAGACTCACTATGAGAGAAGTAAGATGCATGGTGCAAGTTGGAGGAGCAAGGTCAGCAGAATTCACTTCTGGAAAAAGACTAAGGCAGGGAGATGCATTGGCATGTCTCCTCTTTGATTTAGCTTCAGAGAGGTCCATTAGAGATTCTCGTATTCAAATGGGTGGAACAGTATTCAGCCGGATAGTGTAACTTCTTGCTTATGCTGATGATATCGACATTGCTAGACGCTCTTTTCAGGCAGTCTCTGATAGAGTATTGAAACTAGTGGAAGCAGCAAGAAAAATGGGCCTTAAAGTCAACGCTGCAAAAATCAAATATACGGTCACTGAGGAACATTCCAGACTTGGCGGAAGGATTCCCATCGGAGAATTCTCCATTGAAAAAAGTGTCGGAATTTATTTATCTCAGATCCCTCATAACTCATGATACTGTTGTGGATTCTGAAATTAAGCAAAGAGTGCTATGTGCCAATCGTTGTTATTATGGCCTCAGTCCATATTTTAGGAGCCCTGCCTTAACCAGAGGAACAAAAATCCTATTGTATAAAACAATTAACCCGACCGATACTCCTTTATGGCTCAGAAACCTGGACTATCTCCAAAACAGAAGATTTTATGTAAGATCTTTGGAGCTGTGAAATTTGACCAGTTATGGAGACATTGGACAAACCAGGAGCTCAATTATTTGTTTAAAGAACCAGACGTGGTTCATTTCATGATGCTCGATAGGTTGAGATGGGCTGGGCACGTCACTCGAATGGCTGAGAATCACATTCTGAAAAAGATCATGACAGAAGTAATGCACAGAAAAAGGTCTAGAGGAAGACTTCGGCTTCGGTGGAGTGACGGTGTGGTTAGTGATGCGAGGTCCATGATGAGAGTGAGGAGCTGGATGGCGGCAACACAGGATAGGAACAATTGGTGGAGGCTGGTACAGGAGGCTAAGAATCGATATCAAGTTGTCCCGCCGACTGAATAGAATAGTAAAAGTTAGTAACAATCTAATGGAGAACAACTGTAGTTTTATTTAATAATTTTCTCTCTCGAAATCATTTGATGGTAAGAAAAAAAAATTCTTAATTTTTAAGTTCCTTGAATTCAAAACATCATAATAAATCAATTCCTCGGCCTCCAAATAGATTTTAAATTGGCAGTCATTTTTCATTAGGTAACTGAGCAGTGATTTATCATTGGCCAGAAACAAATTCAGGATTTGGTTATTGATTTTTAGTTTTTTTTTTTAATAATGCTAATGACTATGGATTTTTTATTGCTGCAATGACTATATTTTTTATAATGGTAATTAATATTTATTTTTAATAACAGTAATTAATATATTTAAGTGATCCATGAAGGTATAACAAAAAAAAAATAATAATAAAAAATAAATAAAAAAGGAACAGTAATGCTTTGAGGGATAATTTTTATAGGCATGTGGTTACATTTAGTAGGCGAATATGTGTTTTAAAATGAAACTGTATATGCATATTATGATTGTTTAGGTAGCTCAGATAACACACAGATACAAATATGAGCCCATGAAAAACAAAATATTTAATTTAATTTTGTGTTGTTTACAAGTAAAAGGTCATTTGATCACCAATTTCTTTATTTAATATATTTTTTTAAATTAAGAGTTTTATTAACTAATTTTATCTTTTTAAAATTATTTTTCTCTTTCCAAAACTGGTTTGATGTTACAAATACCAGATAGAAATATCCTCCTCATTACCAAGTTAAGATGGCTAGAAAAGTACTATTAAAGAAATGGATCATATTTAAAAACAAAGATATTTTTAAAAAGTTTAATTTCAATCATGAACTATTATTCATAAAATAATAATAAATTTAAATAACATAAAATAAAATTAATTTTTACAAATATACAAGTATTTTTGTTATAAAAACAATGGAGTTTCACTTTGATTTTTTTTTTCTTGTCATAAATGTTTGATTGTTTTGAAAACAATCAATATGACGATTAAATTGAGATTTTAAAAGAAAAACAATAAGATGTATGTAGGACGCTGAAGACACTTCTGAGTTTTATAATTCTATTAAGAATTAATTAATAAAATATCATTAATCTCCATTGTTTTCATAAACATGTAATTATGGATTTATTAGGGCATAAGAAGTCATTTAGGTAGGAAAATGAATTCCAGTTGAATCAAAATACAGTCAATATATAAATTTGAATAAACATAAAATACTATCCTTGGATATATGTAGGTAGATTTAGAAATATATGTAAGTACTCATGATTAATGTTTTTTTTTTTGAAAAATTAAAATTATTTTTTTTATATTAGGTAATTTATAGAGCAATCAGTGTTAATTGATTTTCCAAATGAACAATTTATTTATGATTGATTACTTATAATATATATTTTTTTATGTACACTTTTTCTTTTAGTTTATAAATAATTGCCTACTTCTCTCTCTATTTATGGCACTACAAACATTAAAAGTTTATTTGTTCAATTAATATGTTCTTTAATATAAATTTATTATTTTTAAGTTTATTACATAAATTGGAAACATTTCTCAACTCAATATGTTTAAGACAAGGTCGTAGAAAAATTAATAAATAGAAAATACAATTTTAAATTAATAATTGTAATTTACTAATACATTTAATGTAAAATTAGGTATACTATTCTGAAATCAAAAAAGCCTAATATAACAACTATATTTTTAAAAACATCTCAAATAAGATATGAGTATAAAAGTAAGCTTTAACATGTGAGCTTATTTAAATTAAAGTATTATGACAATATTTAACCTAAGCTAAAGCATAAACATATGAAAATAAAATCAATCCTTTTATAATTTGATATTAATAAAAGTTTAAGAAGTCCTATGTTTGACTTTAAGCCATTAATAGAGTAAAAACTTACTACAACATTGAGTAAGTTTTCCATAATAAAGTAATACAATTTTATATAACTATTAATAACACTTAATAACTAGCTTTAATTTAAAATAATCAGCCTTTAGATGTTTCAAACTTAAAAAAAGGATTTAACGATGATATTTAAAAAAATTAAAACATTATTTGAAATGTTTTTGAAAGTTTTAACATTTTTAATCAATTTTTTTCCATCTCTAAGCTTTTTTACATATACGGTCAGTGTACTTTTATGGTATTCAAATGATATTATTGTCAATATTTTATTAGCTCTTTAATATCATTTTCATCTAAATAAATAAAAGCTCAGCAAGCAAGATTCATGAAAATGTTTATATAATAATACTTATGTGTTATAAGAGTTTCTAGGCTAGACTAACTGCTAACATATTTTCTACATTAATACTTTAAAGAATTTAAATTACATTTGAGTTTATTTTTTTACAATACATTACATAAATAATACAAAAGATCAATCCATCCAATATTTGTTAAATAAGTTGTGAAGTGGTTTCTGGACACTCCTCCAACTATCAAATAGGGTTCACTTACATTGAATATAATAGATAATGAGAAAATAAAATAGTAACTAATGCAAATCTGGAAGTAACCATAGGAGAAAGAAATTTTAAAATAAATCTTAGGTTAGATTAAACTGTCTTTTCTTCAAGCCAAGGCCTAAAAATAGGAAGTGTTGACGGGTAATGTGTTCCATGTTTTCCCCTAAGTGTTCCTTCATTGCCACGGAGAGGATATGTTGCCAATGTAATTGGTAACTGCAATTTGACTTCCTTTTCAAAACTTTTTGGTTGTATAATAAACTAAAACAAATTTTAAAAAAAAATAAGATTTTTTAGTAGTTCATCAAAGTTTGTATTACTTATAAATATTAATAGAATACTATTGAAGTATTCAAGTAGACACAATTTAATAACAATTTATTAAACTTCTTATAATTAGGTTTAAATCTTACTTTCACTAGAACAAAATCAAACCATATATTACATATTCTGTACCATATACCATATACATTTTCTGTTTCTTTGCTATTGATTTAGTTGATATTATGTAACATTACACATTGATTTTAAATCTTTCGACAAATAGTAACATTAAAAATATAAAAAGTGATTATTAGATTTGCAAAACTAGAATCTGATCATGAAGTGTGTATGTTTATATTAAATGATTCAATATAAAGTTGTATTTAGAATAACCTCTAAACCTTTAGATCAGATTTGAGAATATAAAATAATTTTTAAGATTTTTTTGTTTGGTATTATATTAGTTGATATCACTGTAATAAAAAGGCCAGCTACACACAAGTAAACACATACAAACAAACACATACACACATACAAATACCCGAATGTTCTTAAATTATGTAAGTACTATAAAATTATAAGATAATCTTACATATACATCATACTGGACCCTAATTAAATGGCACCCCCTCAAATTTGTTGGTGGCAGGGGAGGAACATAAATTTGTTCATTATTCCATTCATCATTTGCTCCTGGTCTAATTTTTCCTCTTGTCAGTGCAACAAGTTCTCGAGTTTCAGACTGCACAACTCGATTTCTGACTAAGTATTGAATTGTCTAGAAAATTAAAGATCTATTTCAGAACACAAATAATAAATATTTATTTCATTTATCATTGTTTTAATTTTTTTAAATGTTTTTGAATGAGTTTATTCTGTTTAAGATTCTTGATGATTGTAAATAAATTGTGTAGAAATTAGAGTTATTTGTTGATTTATTGAGTTTTTTTGTAAAACTAATATGAAAAACATTCTCTCAAAATCAAAGTAGTTATGTACTAATGGTATACAGGGTGCCCCGTAAGTAGAGGAAAATATTTAAAAGGTTGATACTAGATATCAATATCTACAAAAAAGACGAATTTTTTGTGAAAACGGGGTAAATTTAGTACTGTTAAAGGGTAATAAAAAAAAAATCACAAATAATTTATAACTTTTTTTTAAACAGATCTTAGCTGTATTACTTCCTATTCAACAAAAACCGTGACTCACTTAAAAAAAAACAAATCTTAAATTTCCTACTTTTCTGCGGGAAATTGGGCAATTATTTATATGAACTGTTCTTGTAAATCTTGATGTCTACTATCAACCTTTAAAATATTTCCCTCCACTTACGGGACACCCTGTATATAGAATATTAATACAGAAACATTATACCTAAAGAGGAAACAATATTAGAATATTGTAATATTATTAACTTTTGTTATTTAACACAGTATCAATTAATAAAGAAAAGAATAATAAAATAGAAGCCTAATTTACCTCAGTTAGTGAAGCTTTAGTTTCTTTAATTGTAATTTTGCTGCGGTTTTGAATAAGAGCCGAAATGCCCACTGTTTCACCAGGTACATAGCCTCCTCGGTCCAATGAAACACTGCATATGACTACACCAGAGCTTACACAGTTCACACCCAAATTATGCTCTATTTCACACTGAAAGGGTTGCTACAAAAGCAAAAACTTGTTTAAATTTAAAGTTTTCTTAATATTTTTTATGAATTAAGGATACATTTGAATTAATTTTAACTTTTTATTACATTCCAATTATACACTACTTATACTCAGTTATAATATTCTGTGTTATCCAAATAATTATACATTTGCAATTCACAATTTATTTAATAATTCAATGTAGTAAATACCAATTTCCAAAAATTATAACTATAATTTAGTCACTATTTTATTTTCTTAACATAATGTCATTATAATATATCAATAGTTAATGTGTATTTTAATCAAGGGTTGAACATTTTTAAAAAGTTTCTTTTTAACAGTTTCTGTGAAACCTTTTTACAAAAAAAGTTGATGAAATAAAAATTCTAAGGTACTTTATTGTAATAAGGTTCTTAAAAAAAGTTCCGTTAAATGAAAATAAATAATAATTGGCCTTAGATTACTGTTATAATTTGTCTTTATAATGTAATTGATGAATTACACATGATTGTAATGTGTCATGTGAGTTTGTTTGATTAGGTATGAATAAGTCATTTTTCAGTGAAATCAACAGAACATTTAAATAAAAGTTTTTTAAAAATAAAGATTCTGTAAAACCCTTTCTTGAAAAGTTTTAGTTTCAAAGAACTGAAAAGCTCCGAATTGTACCATTCGGAAACCAAAGTTTAGATACCATCCGAAAATTCCGATGGTACCAAAACTTTTTTTTTTCTTTTTATATTCCAAGTCCTGATTTTAATTGTTGGAAATTTTAGCATGTAATAAGTATTATATTAAAACAATTATTATAAACATCTTTTTTTCACTGTAGAGCAAAAATGAATGAATTTATTATGAATATATTACAAAGAAAAATCCTTCTCCAAAAAAAATCTAGGTGGAACTCACGAACATAAAATGTGTAATGAGTTTATGAGTCCCACCTAGTTTTTTGGGGGGGATTTTTCTAATATCAAATTTAATTTGAATATGACTTCTATTTCTGAGACAGTTTCAAAATGTATTGACATAAAACTGTTCACATTCTAGGTTAAAGAGCATTATATGTTGTTAGCAATGTAAAATTATTTACTTTATACTATATTATCATACCGCTATGGAAGGTTGTTCAAGGTTTAAATCAATTGGGTTCATAACTATAAAAACTTGCTGATTCTTGTGTGTGAGGCCATTTGGCTCTCTGAGGGCGGCCTTACAGAAGTATTGAACCCAACCATGTTTACCAAGAAAAGTTGATGGTAGACCCAATGGAAGTCCCAGTTTAAATGGAAAACTGTGGATTCCTGGAGACAAGAGTACTGGACCTTGACCTATTAAGAAAACCAAGTACCATTTTAACATTTAGTAAAATATTTCATGAATTAAATAAATACATAGAGAGAAATACTTTATTTAAAACAGTGCTGCCCTACTATATACAGTTGGTCGATACACAGCATACTTATTAATCCTTTTTTTTTTTTGGAGATAGCACTTAATTAAACTTAATCACATATTTATATATATATTCAAATTCTTTTCCATATCACTCATCATATACAATATTAATACTATAACATACCAACACAATTACAATTATACAATATATATATTTCGGTAAAACCGATACAAAATAATCTCGGAAATTTATAGAAAAATAAAAAAGATATTTGAATGCCAAAATTCCAAAATTAGAGCACACACATAGTAAGTAACATAATCCTATGGACTCAGATAAAAATATATGATTAGTTAAATTATTTAAAATTGAATAAATAAGTAAATGATAATAAAGAGCCATAATTAACCCCATATATGTGGTGATGAATAATCCCAAGGTAATCCAGAGTAATGCTCTCGACCAACAATACAAGCTCCCCGACATCAACATCTAGTTCCTGGAAGAAGCTCCTTGTTCTTTTAGGAATCGTTCCGCGAGGCTCTAACCAGAGGCCTCTCACAGTGAACTCTTTCTCCGAATTCTCGCTTAATTTCTCTTTTAAGAAAGGGATACATTTATCGTATATTCCCTTCTTTTTTTTTATACTTCACAGACCTGATCGATGTCATTGCTCTCATAGCGAACAGTTGGATCTTAGACCAGTGCCGCCTTTCCGGTCTTGGAGAATGCAACTATATCCGCATTCTTGTTGAGCCATCACTATCGATACAATATACCTCGTCGAAGCATGTGAATTCCCTTTCCCTAAGGAGCCTCGTCAACTCGAATTTGACCCTATGGTGCCGCCGTGTTATGAGGAGGGAGTTGTTGGAGCATTTTCTCAGCACATGTGCTGGTGTTTCAGACTTTCTTCCGCATTTGCGACAGAGGGACCCAATTTCCTTCGACTATCCACTGGCTCCTGGGTCTCCACGCAAAAGTGCATAGTTGATATTAAGTTTTAAGGTGTTAGACCATTGTGACCTCGAAAGTACTTGTTTCTGGCATATACATTTATGAGCCTTCGGGATCATGCCTAACTCTTTAAAATGCCTAACTCTAACGCCTTGCCACCTGCAACTGACCCATTTTTCAAAAGAATTTTCTCTCAGCGACTGTCGTAGAGTGTTCACACTTCGGTAGCCCTGATCAACACCCAGTCTCTCCGCACCTTCGGCGATTTCGGCGTTATAATCAAATATAGACTGGGACAGGGCATCCGGTACTTTAGACAGTCGCTGGGTAATAGACTAATGTTGCAAAAGAGCCTACCATTGACAACGGTCAATCAGTCCCAATCCTCGATCCCTCCTTGGTGCGTATAACATCGCCGATGCTGTATTAGCGGGGAGCCCTATAATGGACTCAATACTGCGGATATTTACATCAATCCCCACTAATAACGCCGGACGTATCTTTGTAAGGGGCACCGTCTGGAGAGGGTAGGTCCCGGGAACACATATTGATTGACAAAATTGATCTTTTGCTCCGGTATAAGAATGCTTAATTAATAATAAATAATATAAATTAATGATTCCATATATGAGTAAACATTTGTATAGAAAACAATTATAGTATAATTTTTTTTTTATAGTTCAATAACAGTTTTTATATGTTTGTGTTAGCCATGGGCGAAGGCCAACAAAATTTCATGGAGGTGTCTAGTATATCCTAACTTCAACTGTGGAGGACAACTAAATTTTCGAACATCAAACGCATTCAATCCTTCCAGTCTAAAGTCCTCTGTAAAATAGTCAATGCTGCTTATTATGTCACGAACAAAACCTTACATCATGACCTTAACATCCCTTATGTCCTTGACGTAATCCACCATCCTAATCCCTTAGTACAATCCTTGCCCAGTTCCAGCCATACCTATAATCCTCCTCGAAGGTTCAAACGGCAGTGACTTCGAGATCTTTAGTAAATATGTCATTGACACTGGCCAGCTTCTCCAATCATGAGCGTCTGTTGCTGTAGTGCTCTCTCTAATGGCGGTTACGCGTAAATAATCCTAAATTATTTACTAACCTAGAATGTAAGTTTTAAAACAACTGAATTTTCATAAACATTTAATTCTGATTGTTATTATTTTGGCATCTGGCAAGACTTTTTTTTATTTGTAAACTTCATAATATTTCTTTAATCATTCTTTCTTCAAACATATTTTGGTGAGAAGGGGAGTGGAAGGGAGCTGACAGATGCTGGAAGGCCAAGATCATCCCTGAAGGTACCTACCTACACCCATGGTGTTAGTATGGATTGGATAAAATATGGAATAATGCTCCGGAACCACTTATTAATAAGTTATTATTGCTGAAAACAAAAAATTCTCACAAATAGTAGCTTACCAGGTTCGCCGAGAAGCCTCATCCGAAAATCAATATAGTTTTCTTTGTCATATATTCTATCATGCCCATGTTTTCTCAGTCGTACAACACCTTCTCCAACAACGTGGAAATGCAGACCTAAAATATGAAAAACCAAAAATTATTTTTAGGAATGATTGAAATGGAAAACTTTTATCAAGTTATTAAATCAATCCTATAAATCAATACAGATGTATCTTGACTGTATTTAACTACACAGACATCAAATACTATATAGCTTAATAACTCCAAATCAATAACAGTGGCAGATTCACACACAGGAAGACCATTCAATTGCCTAGGGCAACAAGTTGATGATACCTGTTGATAATACAATGAAGTTGTATTTTTTAGATTGAAACTAATTTTTAAATATTAAAAAATAACTTAACTATAATATGCACACATAAATATAAAATTATCTCCAATTAGTTTTTCATTATGAAGCAATAAATTAACGGCTGAAAGGTACTGTATTATCTGTCATACTTGCGGACATGATAAAAATCCTTAGGCAAATCCGCACCTGATCACAAAGTTAATCTTCAAATATGCGTAATAACAAGAGACCAAATATTTATGCAATATTTATTCCTTAAAGTAGTTATCATAATATATTTCTGAATCACTGCATTGAATTGCGGGATTTGTATTTAGTAATATTCATTTATAAATGCACATCGCAGATCCAATATGAAATGGGTCAGGTAAAATACATTTTTTTTTATTATTAAAATGACCCTCAGTCTCAGGCTAAGTTCAATATAATGACCCCCAGGGAGTTTCTATCAGGCTAAGTTCCAATTGGCAAAGCATGACCGATGCCTGATCGCCTGATGTTTTGCCAATTAGGACATGAGTAAATAAATGTTGCTGGTAGATCACCTGTTGTGTCTATTGGTTTGACCTGATATTTGAATACTTAGATGCTCTTTAGGATTTTTGGGGTTATTCTTTTCCAACCATTAAAATATCTGAAATTTTGATTTGTCCCATATTCATTCTGGATGTATGACTAAGCACAAGCTACTCGTAACGTATTTTATTAGTCAGATCAAATCTATTAATAAGATGATGATCGAGGAAAAGATTTTTAAACATATCTGTTCATACTTTAAAACAGATGTACGGGCTACAATATACTTACGTGCTAAAAAAAAGTAAGAATAAAATATATACACACTTATTTCTTGTTAAAAATGTATTACTGTTTTATATTAAAAATTTATAAAAGCTATCAGAAATGATAATTAAATATTAATAATTTATTTATGGCAAATAAATCAACCAGTTCTAACATAACATCTTTTTATTTATTTTTTTGGGGAGAGGGGCTGGATTATGGGTAAAATATGGCATATCAAATCTATCATGAGCTGTCTCAAACCACAAAGCTGTCTAAAATTAAGAAGCCGTAATTTTCTACAGAAATTGTTTAAAGTGCATATGATGAAGATCCGGCCACATATTAAACAATATTTTCCCTTGAAAATTAAGTTACAATTCCCATCGCCTATTCTCGATTATCTTCTGCTAGAGAGCAATGGTTTCTCAGATTTTTAAGTGGGTAGTAAGGATTTTATGAGTTATCTTTTATGACTCAGGCTTTACTTTCCTTTGTCTGCTCACCCATAGCAGTGCAACCAACTCTATATCTCTTAAAACTTGGATTAAAAAAGTGAAATTTAATTTAGTAACTGCAAATGAGTGATAGTTATTTACCCAAATTTAAACTTAAAGTCTTAACCAATAATTTAATTACTTTTAATCTATTATGTTCATTAATTTTAAATCTATTATTATTATACATAAATGTTCATTCGTTTATTAATAATAAATGTTATATTTATGTATTTAAGATCATTTATCTATCAAATTTTTGCTAATATATTTATTTTTTAATGAACATTAAATTCATCAATAAAATTGTTTTTAAAAAACGGGATTATGGCCGACAAACTCGTTAAACTCTTATAAAATTAATTAAACGGCATAAAAATAAATTTTTAGTTTTTAAATTGTGTTCAAAAAGGATATTGTTGGATGCCAAGATCGTTCGTAGAAAGCAACAACTTCCATGCCTACGAGCTTCATGGCTACCTTCATTAATTAATAACACTTTCATACTTCATATATATATATATATATATATATATATATATATATATATATATATATATATATATATATATATTAGGTGATAAAAACATCACATGAAAATGTAGGGGTGCACGTTGGAATTAATCATAAAATCCATCGATATGCAGATGATGTAGTTGTCCTTGGTGGAAGAAATGACGAGGACATTGAGATACGACTTAAAACTATAATAAGAAAAGCAGAGCAAAGCGCCCAACAAGTAAATTAACTTTAAACAAATCATATGACAGTAAGCGAAAATCCCACTCCAACAGTGCGCATAATTGAAATCGTTACCGTGAGTAGACCAAATGCAACTACCTCGACACCATAATAACTCCAACAAATGGCCAACGATCAGAAACAGACCAATGTATGGCAAGTGCTAACAGAGCTTTCTTGTCTCTTTCAAAGATATCGAAATCTCAAATTAATGGTGTACAGTGCAATAATAAAGCCAGTTCTGATGTTCGGCTGCGTGACCTGAACACTCATCAGAAATCGGGTAAGTATTGAAAGATTTAAGAGAGAAAACTATTGAAGAATACAGCTAGTCCTGTTTCAGTGACCACTATATTAGAGAAAATTAGTATTTTGAATGTTAACTATACCTATCAAGCATCACCCATCGCTATAATCCTCCAAGAAGGTTGTAACGGCAGTGGCCTCGCGACCTTTTGTAGATTGTGTATATTGGAGTTCTGGTAATGGCCAGATTCTCCACTCAAGACATGAGTGTATGTGGCTAAAGTGCTCTCGATCAATCTCCGCTGGCTTTAGTACCAGTGAGGCGGTTGAGAGAGTAGCGCAGTGTTCCCTCACCTGATTGTAAATAGTGTATATTGGTATTCATGTGTTTTTGCTTAGTTTTAATTTTTTTATTTTTAGGTTATTTAATTTTATTTATTGCATATACTTTTTCATTATCATTTATTGTTATTTTGCTTGTATTTATTTTATATTTTTTATACATATAGTGTGAATGTTATCCTACCTCACTATAACTAGTGCCCATGTGACAGATTGTTGTAATATTCAATAAATAAATAATAAAAAAAATACCATTCAATCGTTTTATGTAATCGTACTTCAGATAGCATGAGGCCACCAGCGATCTTTCGGTTTCCGTTGTCGACCATTAACGGTTAATGGACGGTCGTTGTCCGCAACCCTAACCACTTCTTCCTCTCATTGTTGGGGAACGTATCGTTCCCTGAGATATAAAATAAATACTTCGGTTAGAATAAATCTGGCATAAATATAAAGTAAATAGTTCAAATAAGGATGTAAATAATATATAAAGCATAGTATTTTTATATCTCAGTATTTATTGTATATATCTGTGTTTTTCCTTAGTATTTTTTGTAGATATTTATATTTTCCTTTGTTTTTTTTTATATATATATTTGTATTTTACTTAGTATCTTTATAAATATATATATATTTACAATTTCCTAAGTTTTTTTTTTTGTATATATTTGTATGATATCTACATACCAGACTAATGTACATATTTTTTGAACTCTTATTCTAAGGGGAATTCAGTCCCATAATAAATTATTTTTCATTTCATTTCAGTACTGAACATTAATAATTTCAAGTATAAAAATGTACCTTCATTAATAAATTATCACAATGTTCAAACAGAACATTCATTAACTATGATATACCTGAATGTATTTGTTGTTGTTTTGTAAGTGTTTTGTTGACAATTTCAGATTTTATATTAATGTAAATAATTGGTGTTATTTTAACTGTCTGATTTTGTACCAAATATAATTTGTAAGTTATCCTTAAGATTGTCGTAATATTTGTAATGCAGTATAAAAAGGAAAAAAAAAATACCATAAGGGTAATAATGTTTTTTTATATAGAGATAAAAAACATCGAGTTCTTCCCTCGAAAGAGACAAAGATTAAATAAATAAAAAATAAAAATAGTTCAAATAATGATGTAAATAATATATAAAGTATATTACCTAACATTAATAATTTCAAATATAAAACCGTTGTTTTTCTTATTTCAGCCGAGATATCATTATTATCAAACAATACAAATTCTTGGTAATGCAGATGATTTAGATATTGGAAGATGGAGAATTGCTGTAGAAGAGGCTTTCCTTGATCTTGATCTGCCAGAAAAATGGGCTTAGTTGTGAATTCTGATAAAACCAAATGCATGGTGGCTAAAGAAGTGAAGACTTTTGAAGTAATGAACGTTAAATTTGGGCCTTACACATTTGAACGTGTTTGTGACTTTATATACCTGGGATCTCAAGTAAACAAAAATAATAATAACAACTTAATTAAAATAAGGAAATTTTTCAGTTATATTGCTAAAATGGAAAAGAAGTTTATCCTAATTCACTTTAATCATGATTTATTTTTCAATAATTTTTAATTAATTTTTTTTTTTATCTTGATTCATGATTTAAACAAATCCCTGTAAGAAAATGACACCTGTTGCCAAATGACGCGGACGGACATTATATTATAATATTATTGTATGGTATTATCAAATATATTATTATGATAATCAGTTGGCAAGTTCTTTATTTTATACCTCATACATTACATATATCATATAGTAATTAATTAATTTAATTATAATTAATAACATGACATTTTTGTAACATATGATAAGTTATATAGCAAAAGGTTGGGTTTCAGTGATGAATTTAATACTGGAGGGGTGCCCAAAAAAATTTGTCCGTCGAGCTCTTGGTTTCTCTAGACGGCCATTTGAAGACGCCTTTGTGTGAAGGTAAGAGTGGATCTTGTTAGAATGAAATGGCTGGTCAATGACCTTGTTCCAAAAGGCAATCTTCCATGCTTCATAAAAGTCAAACTTATTAACAGAAGATAATGATTTATGGTTACGGATTATACATACATATTATGTTCAATTGGTATTCATTACATAATACAAATAATAATTTATTTTTTATCAAAGAATAAAGT